CCATTGGATTCTGCCTTGGGGAGGCCAATGCCACCATGTCAACAGCTGTTTGTTTGCCTGGGACAAAGACCTGATCGGAATGGGTTCCAAAGGAAATTGTAAGGGAAAAAAATGGAGGCAGAATAGACAAACGGGCTCATTTTGCTCTATGTGGGCACCAGACTCCACATGGAACTTGCGGGGTGGTCAGTCCACAGTAGCAGAAGGTAAAGGCCTGGCACCAGGGCCCAGGTGCAGCAGGTGGTCAGTGTGGGGATGGAGCCTGTACATGCCTCTCCTGATTGCTGCTATTTTCCCAGTGAAGTGGGAAAGCAATCATAGTCATGAGCTAGGAGTGAGCTGGCAGGAAATGATGGGATTTGAGAGTTAAGGGAAAAGCATGTGAAATAATCTCTAGAGGAATGAGAGTGAAGAGAAAAGGGAAAAATAGTAAGATTTCTGGGCAGGACTAAGGGCCAACCGGAGGAGGCAGTCGTCAATTCACAGTGAGATCTATCAGCATGGTTGTGAGCTTTTCTATAGCAATGGTCACCTGCCCACATGTACATGAAGAATAGGGCCAAGTGGGATTTAGCAGGGCTGAAGTTCTACCAGGCCACGTATAACAAAGCAACAGAGGAACAATGAAGCTGAGGGTGAAAACAAGGAGATTACAGTGATGGTGGAGCATGAAGTACACTAGAAACCAACTTGAGCTCCAGCATTCTTGCCCTTTGTGGATGACTCATTCTATCTTAGAAGTTAGTCGAAACTCAGGAGTTCGAGACCAGCCTGGCCAACATGGTGAAACCCCATCTCTACTAAAAATACAAAAAATCAGCTGGGTGTGGTGGCAGGTGCCTGAAATCCCAGCTACTCAGGAGGCTGACGCAGGAGGCGGAAGTTGCAGTGAGCCAAGATCGCGCCATTGCACTCCAGCCTGGGCAACAAGAATAAAACTCTGTCTCAAAAAGAAGAAAGAAGAAGAAGAAAAAGAAGTAGTACCAGTAGTAGTTGGTAGAAGAAAGAGCTTGAGAGGGTAGGAGGAGACCTCAAGTGAAAGGTCACTATTTTATCTGGAAAATGTGTTTGGTGCTTAGAATGGAATTCAGTTTGATAAGATGGGGAATAATGACTTGGGAAGGGGATCATGAAAAGGTAATAGTATCAATGTCTTGTGGATGCAGTGAGATTAAAGAATCTCGGCTGGACGCGGTGGCTCATGCCAATAAACCTAGCACTTTGGGAGGCTGAGGTGGGTGGATCGCCTTAGGTCAGGAGTTCGAGACCAGCCTGACCAACATAGTGAAGCCCCGTCTCTACTAAAAATACAAAAAATTAGCCGGGTGTGGTGGTGGGCTCCTGTAATCCCAGCTACTCAGGAGGCTGAGGCAGGAGAATCACTTGAACGGGGGAGGCAGAGGTTGCAGTGAGCCAAGATCGTGCCATTGCGCTCTAGCCTGGGCAACAAGAGCGAGACTCCATCTCAAAAAAAGCAAAAGAATCTTGGGAATTGAGCACTAGAGGGAGTGAAGTGGAGAGAAAAGAGGGGTGGTCACACAGTGGGCTTGAAACTGAGAGTATGGAGCCGTGCAGCTATTACAAGATCCAGGCAGACCACGGGGGTGAGCTCTCAGCAGGAAGCAAGAAGGCAAAGTTACAAAAGAGAAGAGGCTAAGGAACCAAGAGGCCAGGGTGCAGGAAGCGTCATCTACATGGATACTCAAATCACCAAGAACTGCTGGCAGCTGATGATGTGGGGAGAGAGGCAGTAAACCCAGGGCTAGCCCACTCTTCCCGGAATGAAGCAAGTGACTTGGGGGTCTATAGATGGTGGCAACCAGGGGTAGGAGGTGCTATTGTCTGATGATATGTGCTCCACAGCTGGCATTTTTAGGAGAGGAGAGGCGAATCATGGTCTAGAAGCAAGAGTGAGGAGCAAGTTGCTTCTCCAGACTCCAGAGTCCAAGGCAGCATGGAAGGGAAAGCAGCGGTCACGTGAGGCAGCTGCAGAGCAAGCTGCATTGCTGCGGGGGGGACTCCAGCAGGAATAAGAAAGTGAAGGGGACTTCCAGAGAAGGCTAGGAGGATGGACAGGACTTTGCTGATGATGGAACGTGGGTTCCAGACAGTGTGTTAGTGAAATCATGCCCCAAAGAGTCAAAGAAGCCAATGATTACATTCTTGGGTGTACAGGATAGCAGATAAGAAAAGAAACAACTTGCTGAAAAGCTGAAGCTGAAACTGTGCCCCAAAGAGTAAGAATCAATGACTAACAGATAGTCTTGAGCTTGCAGAATGGCAGATAAGAAAAGCAACGTACAGAAATGCTGAAATTCCCCGCACTTGTGAAATCAAGAAAAAACGGGCTGACATCGGTTGGAACCAAGATGGCCTGGCCTACTGGAGTCTGCACAGAACAGGCTTGCTGACGTCACAGCGTGACCTGCCATGATGTGTTTCATACTAAGTCCCCAAGAATGTTCACAGTGACCCGTGAGGTAGCATGAAGAGATAACTGAGCATGTCCAAGGACTTTCCAGACCTCCCCTCCCCGCCACCAATCACCTACTAATCCCTTGAACCTTTTCTAATGAAAATACTGCCTTGAAGGGAGGACAGAGAGACAGATTTGGGCTTGACTACTGTCTCCTTGTGAGTCGGCATGCAATAGAAAGCTTCTCTCCTCAAAAACCTAGTGTTCCAGTATCGGCTTCTAGTGCCTTGAGCAGTGAGCCCTCTGTGCTCAGCAACATTAGGGTTTGGAGAGCTGGGGAGGGGTGTGGAGAAGATCAAATTAAGGCACGTCCAGAGCCACAAGGGTAAGGAGATTGGGTGGTAATGGGAAAGGCACAGTGAGGCTATGAGTGTTGGGGAGCAGAGAAGGACGGGACAACATCACTGTCTCTGTCACTTCCCATTTTCTCCTCAACCCACTTCAGTTGAGCTACTGACCCCATTGTGCTGCTGAACTGCTCCCATTCAGGTCACCTCTGTGTTGCCAAAAGCAGTGTTTCCTTCTGTCTTCAGTTCATTTGACCTCTCAGCAACATTGTATGGAGATGATGACTTTCCTTCTGAACACACCCTTGTCCTCACTTCTTTGTCCCTATACCCTCTGGTTCCCCCCCCCCACCTCCTTCCACTCCTTCTCACCTCCTTCATGTGCTCCTCCTCCATTGCTATACCCCTAAAGGCTGACATTCCCCAGGGCCATTGATGTGTGTTCCCTGGTTCACCTCTTCATGGACCTGCCCAGGGGAAAACAGTCTCCCAATCAACCCCATCAGCATCCCAGGTAGGTGGCTCGTACTAGATCTTGACATCCTCCAATTAGCAAAAGTTTAACTTACTGAAAGACACAAGTTATTTCCACGTTGCTAGTCATGGTAAAGCTAGTTTTTCATTGAGAATTGTGGGATTTCTTGGGTTAGGCCGGATAATTGGCATTGAGTGACATGAACAACGTGTATGATGGTCTCTGCCCTCAAGGTGTTCAGGGTCCTCTTAGAAAGATGGAGGTGCATTAAAAAATAGTACTTCTAAATACGAAGAAAGACCAGCTATCAGAGCTGCATGGTATTTAAAGGCCATCTACTCTCTCCTACTTGTTTTCCAAAGTCATGATGAGGCGACTTACGCAAGGTCACACCACTAATTAGGTCACCCTGGGAATTAGAACCAAGTCTCCCAACCCCCACACCAGTGCTCTTACCATGGCATCTCAATAGGTTGTTGAGAGAAGTACTTTGAGCTTTAGAACGAAAGGCACTGTGCCATCATGGTTAAAAGCATGGATTCTAGAACCTGACTGCCAGGGTTCGAATCACTAATTAATATCAAATCACAGTAACAATGCAGTTGTTATCCAAGTGACCTTGAGGAAACCACTTAACTTCTCTGTGCCCCATTGGTTACATGTGGCTAATAACTGCACCTACCTCACAGCTATAGTGAGGATTAACATGAGTGGATGTAGGTAAGGTGCTTAGAATGTTGCCTGGCACGTAAAGACAGCTATGCAAGGTTCTAAATACCAACAGTGCTGAGAGATGAAGAACCGAGAGGTTTGTGGAATACTGGATGTGCTCAGCTCCTCTCTGAACCCCGGGAGCTTGGCATACATTAGGGCTCACTGAATGAATTAACTAACATTCACATCCTTATGAAACAGAGGTCAGCTCATCTACCCCTACTCACACCATCCAGAACGTTCACTGAAAACAAGTAGGTAAATCCCACCACGACCACCACCATCAGGATACACCTGTTACTAGTCTCTTTGCACTTGATGACAGCTAGCAAGTCCACAATCTAAAGCAAGAAGAGATAAACATACAGACCACAGGACACGCCAACATGCAGAGTAGACTCTGGCATCCACAGGACAAAACTCAGTCCATCTGTGGAGCATAAACCCGGCGCAACCAAGAATTAAATGAAATACCATCTTCCTTTAGGATTCCTAAGAAGAAAAAGCCAAAATTCGCAACAGGTGTGAATTAAAGTCTGCCTTTTGCCCTACACAAAAAGAGCAGAAATAAAGCCAGAAGTGGCCACAGATGTTGGTCATTTTCTTCCATCCACTGGAGAAGTGCCCCAGAATGTAATCATTTACCCGAGGAGGATATTAAAAGAGCAAGGTTAGCTGCAGTTCCTGAGGGAAAGATGAAATAGGTGACCCACCTGGTGAAGCATTCTCCGTGGGCTTCAGGAAAGCTCAGAAAATGAAACAGACCCCAGTTCTTTATCCACGGCCGCTGCTAAAACAAGTGAGCCTTGGAGGCAAGCCTGATTGACCCGCATCTGACAGCTGAAGGCCTCAGTGAGGCTGGACGAGGCCTACAGCCAGGTGGTGAGACCAGGGGCTGACCACGAGGACGTCACCCGGAGGGTCCAGCCCCTCGTTAGTTGCAGCGCAGTGGAAAGCATCTCCCGCCCCCACAGGACCCATCCGTTCCGGGACCCCACCCCGACCTGAGGCCCAGCCACATCCACCCCGCGCCCCCCGCCGTACTCACTCCCATTCCTTGCGCCGGGCCTGCGGGGTGCTCTGCATCTTGTGCGCCTCGTGGGCCTTGATGATGTCGCGCTGCTCGATGAGGCCCCCGCGCCGCCGCTTCATGACCTCGGGGCTCACCGGGAGGAAGGGGCCGCAGCCCGCCTCCAGCGCCACGGCGCCCTCCCAGCCCGGGCCCTCGCCCTCCTGCACCGGGAAGTAGTTGTCGAAGCCGGAGGCGGCACGCGGGGAGGCCGGCAGCATGCCCACCTCGTCCGAGGCCTCGGCCTCGAGCAGGGTGCACTGCTGAGGCCGCCATGCCTCCTCCTCCGGCAGGGCCAGCACGTGGCGGCGGCGGTGGCCCACGGCCCCGGGCTCAGGGCTCCCCGCAGCCGGGCAGGGGGCGGGCTCGGGCAGCCTGCGGTCTGGGCTCAGTCCACGCATCTCCGGCACCATCACAGAACATTGCTCTGCGGGAGGGGGAGGGGAGAGACCAGGAGTGTGGAGGGAGGGAGGGAGGGAGGATGGGGCCAAGGTCACAGGGAAAGACAGAAGAGAAAGAGGTTAATGGCATTGCCCTCCAGGCCAAGACTTGCTCAGTGCTACACCCTGGGCCTGGCCCACACAGGCACACAGAGGCGCTCCATAAACAATGTTGAAATCAGGAGCGCCTGCAGTGGACCAAGCTGGGCGGGCGCCAGGTGTCCAGAATTTCACAAAGTGACCTGGATTCTTGCCCTCATAAACTTCACAGTCTACTGCAGAAGACAGAGGTTAAAGAGCTAATTATGCCCCAGTGGTAAGGTTTCAGGGGCTGCAGTAAAGAGAGAACTCTGAAGGCTGCACATATCAGCCCCACCTCAGATAGCTAGGTGTATGTTCCCTCCATTTTTGGTGGAAGAACCCCTCTAACCCCTTCCCCAGGGCCCAACTCCTCTGGGGGAATTCCCACCCACCACCTGCTGCCCTGCCTCCCAAGCACACGCTCCCAGGGGACCAAGCCTCAAGGTGGGCTCCTTTTTTTTATTCATTTTGAGATAGGATCTGTCATCCAGGCTGGAGTTCAATGACAGAATCATAGCTCACTGCAGCATCAAGTTCCCAGGGTCAGACGATCCTCCTGTCTCAGCCTCCCGAGTAGCTGGGACCACAGGCACGTGCCACCACAGCCAGCAATTTTTTTTTAATTTTTTGTAGAGATGGCATCTTCCCATGTTGCCTAGACTGGTCTCAAACTCCTGGACTCAAGCAATCCTCCTAACTCAGCCACCCAAAGTACTGGGATTACAAGCATTGCCTCTGAGCCCAGCCTACGGAGGGCTCTTCTTGAGAACTGGGTCCTGTCTGCAGGTTCCTTCCTCTTTTTATAATGCATGTGTCTGCCTCAGGACCTGGGGGCCACGTGTGACTCAGGTGCTCCTCTTGCTCCCCTTGGCATCATTCTCCTTTTCCGTGCCAAGGAAGATATGGCCAGATTGGCCTCTGAAAGACATACACATTGAATCGGTGTTTACTGAGGGCTTACCATGTGCCGGGCACTGTGCCAGGCACTGGGCACAGGACTTAGTCCACCTCATCCTCATGGGAGAGACAGGAAGAACATTGATTGTGACCACGACAAGATGTGCTGTAATTGGTGTAGGCCTGATTGCTAGAGGAGTGCATGTGAGGGGCACCTGGTTGGGTGTGGTGGCTCACGCCTGTAATCCCAGCACTTTGGGAGGCCAAGGCGGGTGGATCACTTGAGGTCAAGAGTTCGAGTCCAGCCTGGCCAACATGGTGAAACCCCGTCTCTACTAAAAATACAAAAATTAGCCAGGTGTGGTGGTGTGTGCCTATAATCCCAGCTACCCAAGAGGCTGAGGCAGGAGAATCACCTGAACCCAGGGGACAGAGGTTGCAGTGAGCCAAAATCACACCATTGCACTGCAGCCTGGGTGACAGAATGAGACTCCATCTCAAAAAAGAAAAAAAAGAGGGATACGTAGCCCAGCTGGGGGAGGTCAGGAGGGCTTTGTGAAGGAAAGGACCCTGGAGCCGGGTTAAACAGAGCTTGCCAGGTGAGGAACAGGAAAGGAGTATGGGCAAAAAGGAAGAGCACTTGCGTGAGGGAGGATTTAGGGAAAGCAAGGATTCCTCCTGCCTCGCCGGTCACTCCTCTCTCCTCCTTTGTGCACTGCTCCTCCACTACCACACCCCTAAAGGCTGAGTCCAAAGCCATTGAGGTGTTTCCCTGTTTCACGCCTTATGGACCTGCCCAAGTGAACACAGCACTCCAGGTGGGTGGCTCATACTAGACCTTGACATGCTCCAATTAGCAAAGGTTTAACTTAACGTAAAAGTTACTCACACACCGCTAGTCCCCATAGTAAGTCTAATGATGGAGTCCAGGGAGGGGGGCGGGGAACCAGCCCCTCTGGCTTGAGAGGGCCTGAACTTACCACCTTTTCAAGATACCTGTTTATTGTCTCCCTCCTAGCCAGGAGCCCCAAACCGGAATTCCCCCCAACCACATGTCTTAGTGACCACAACTGGTATCTAAGAAGTGTGCCATGCTCTATGTGCTCAGAGGAGCCCGGGCCTCCAGATCATTCAACTAGTGACGGATGGTTGAGCACCTACTACATGTTGGGAGCTGTGCTGGGCCCCCAGGGTGGCATCCTCCCAGATGCTGCCCTCCAGACACCACCCCTTCCCTGGGCTGGACTGCAAGTCAAATTGCAAATCACAAATACAAACAATATTTCAATGGTTAGAAATCTTAATGATCTAACTGTGTCATTTTATGGATGCTGAGGTCCAGAAAGGTAGAGAGTCCCACCGAGGATCATGCTGCCAATAAAGTGCAGAGCTGGGAAAGAATTGAGATTTCAAGTCCTAGCTTACGGTTTTCTCCACTGCATTGATCACATGCCTCTACCACATGGAGCAGAATCCATAAATGCCTCTCCCAGCCCCCGCCCCCCTCCTCATTATGCTAAGATAGCAAATAGAAACAAAAAGGCTGTATGAGAGGATGATCTTACATACGTGATAAAACCTGATGGGAGCATTCAGCAGCCCTGGGTGTCCCTAGAGTCAAAAGCTCTTTGTCTCCTTCTCCATCTCTAACATCTGTACTGGTCTTCCTCACCCTACCAGCACCACACCCTAAGGCCTCAATGCTTTTGATCTTGAAGCTCCCAGGACGTGGTAGCCAGCACTGGGTACTTGGCCACCAAGGCCGGGTCAAGGGAGCAGGGAGAAGGAAGACAAAGGGTTCAGAACGAGCTTGGTACGGAGGAGAAAATGTATCCCAAATCATGCCAACAGCTGGGTGGGTCCCTAGAAAGAGTGATTCATGTTCTTCACGTTGTCATTCTGTCTCAACTCCCCTTGAGGGATTTTAAATTTATCCTTCATTCCTACGATGTTTAAATGTCTCTCCCTCACCACATGCACGCACACACCCCTTCCCTGCTGCTCCCACTCCCTCCCCAGGCCTTAGCATCTCCAGCAACTCCAAGAATTCTCAGGTTCTGCTGGCTGCAGCCTCCTCTCCCTCATGTCTCTCTGTGACAAAGGCTCCTGGGCCACCCTCCCACCTCTCACCAGGCCAACAGTACCTGGCTCCCCACCTCCATTTCCTGACCCACCCCACTCTCTCTCCTTACATGATTTCCTCTTCTCAGACACTTTGCCAATTTGAATCACATCTTTGCCAAAATTACAACAGCAATAATATGCACTGCGGAGCTCCGGCTTTAACGGAATCAATGTTATGAATATCAAAACATGAAATTATCTTCTCTTTCCTTTAAGAATTTCTGTTAAACAAGCCTTCTATTATTGATATAAACGTTCATTAGGAGGATCTGTCGCCCCCACTGTTTGCCAAGCCGGTCAGTCCCCAGTTCTGGCTAGCACCAAGCTGAGATCTCAAGCAATTCAGACAATCCAGTCTATATCTTCTAGGAAAGGACACTTGAATCTATACTTAGCCTTCCCCCTCCAATCCCCAAGTTCTGGCATTCCTTAAATTCCTTGAGATCAAAGATTTTGTCTTGTTCATCTTTCTATTCCTAGCACCTGGTACTGATTTCAACTCATAGTAGGTGCTTATGGTGGCCATTAGTGCTGTTTGTCAAATATTCTGATTATCCCCTCTTGGGCACATGGTAGGATGTATTTGCTGGCCCTCTATGGTTGAGTGGGGCCATGTGACCATTCTGGCCAGTGACTTGTGAGTGGAATTGATATAAGTTACTTAAGACTAGCATGTAAATGCCAGTACAAAACTGTCTAGAGCAAGGATTGGCAAACTCTCCAAAGGGCCAGAAAACAAATATTTCAGGCTTTGCACGCCATACAATCTCTGTTGCAACTACTCAAACTCTGCTGTTGTACCATGAAAGCAGCCAGAGAATATGTAAATGAGTGGGCATGACTGTTCTGATAAAACTTTATTTATAAAGTCTTGTAAACTTTGGTCTTTCAACTGCATCTCTTGGACTCCATTGTTGTCACTCAGCCTATGCCCATGGAAGCAGGTTCTACAGAGAACCAGGCAAAAATAGGAAATGGAGATCTACAAAAGAGAATGAGCAGCTTCCTGACAGCAAAGTTACTGTCCTGTGGCTCACACGCAAGACACCTGAATGGAGGGAGAAGAGGGCCTACTTAGAAATTATAAGACAAGTTCTGCAAAATGCACCCAAGGACGAGCAAATGCAAGCTTCGAGGGCACTGTCTGACTCTAACCCTTGCTTTCTACCTAATTCTCTTCTTATTCTTTATTGCTAAGTTTGGTTAATGGGAAGAGGGTGTGATTTTTTAATTATGGGGATCCTGAGGAGGAAGAGGGTTCAGTGCAATCCAGCAGCCCCAGGAACACTCCTCCCTTGCTTGTCAGGACGCAGTGGGATGGCAGGATAAGGGCTCTCCTTCTCTACCGCCACTCAAACAGCCTGCACTGCCAAAAACACTTGAGCCCATAATTACACTTCTGCTTACTTCTGAAATTGTCTTCCCCGTCACCCTTCCAGAGTCAAAGGCAAGATCTTTGTCCATGAAGAAATATTATGTCCTTTGCACCATCTTTCCCTTAATACCATATCAAGAGTTTCACTTTTTAATTCATCTATTTTTGGCTGCTTTAGAAATGATGATCCATGCACCCCTTTGGCTTATCCAGGCCTCTCACACCCTTGAAGAGGAGTCTGCCACATTGAGGACATTCATCTTCCTCTCCTTGGGTGTATCCCCATCCTACTCCCTCCCCTCCACTGCTCTCTGTCTGATTCCTTCAGAACATGTGCATCCTCCAAATACTTTGTGAGAAGTGGATACGCCAGGAAGCCAATGAAAGTTTTCCTTTTCTAAGTCCCCTATCTTCATTACCTGAAAGTTTTGAGCTTAGCAAAGAAGTCTCCACGGCATACACTACCAAGCACATGGGCTAAGAGACAGTGGGCATAAATGGAACTGATGG